GGTTCACATCTGGAATTTGAGCCAGGAAATCCACTGAACAGATGGGGTCACTGAAGCTAAGAGCGAGTATATAGCCATAAGCTGAATGAAATTCTTTCACCTGGCTTCAGACAATTAATTGCCTCACCAGTTGCCAGAGATGTGGTCTTTCTCCTTGCCTCCATCACTTCTTGAGATGCACAGCCTCTGAATTCTGAAAAGGTCCTTTGATATGGCTCCTTTCAGTTCCTCTTTAACAAATGGAGAAACTGAGACCTCCCAAATAGAAATCACTTGCCCAAAGACCAACAGCTACTCAGGACTAGTGGCAGATGACCCTGGGTCTTTCATCTCCCATCATCTGGGCAAGCACTTTTGAAAGACAGCCTGGAGGGCTCCCAATGAATTTCATGTTACTTCCAGTAAACTTTGTGCTGATTCTTGGCACAAAGAGAAGAAATGAAGAGGGTAGGGTAGGAATGTAAATAAAGAGAAGCATTGGGATTTCATCTGATACATAATTATAGTATCTGTGGTAGTAGCCCTGGCTGCTTCAGCAGTGTGCTACCCAGGCTGCACCTGGAAAGGGATGTGGTCCATACCCCTTGGGCTTTAGGAATGGTATCTTTGGGCCAGTGGCCTGAATTTCTTTTCAGAGATGTGGGAAACTAGAGACTAGGAAACAACAGCAGATGAAAGCTGAAGATCAACAGCTACTAAAAACAAACAAACAAACAAACAACAACAAAAAAAAAAACCCAGCACTTGAGTCTACTCTTATGGAGAAGTAGGTACACTCAAGATCAGAATTCAACTCTTTGCATAATACTGGGAGGGCTGGAGGCAAAGACAAAGTTTGGAATTTAGGGTAACCACTTAGTTTTTGGTGGCAGAACTGAAAATTTGTTTTGCATGTTTGTTCCAACCCATCTAGGCACAGGTCTTTATGTAAAAGTTCTCTTTCCCACAACTTCCACCTGCTGACTCCTGTCACTTCAACATCCCTAATTCTTACCATAATACAGTGTGGTAATTTCCTATTTAGACATTAGCCATGAATTGGCTGGGTGCAAATATTGGCTTCTCCACCTATTAGCTTCACGACTCTGGTCAAGTTATCGAACCTCTCTGTTCCTTGGTAGACTTTAACTGTTGGATGATAGTAATAGCAACTGCCTGAGATTATTGTTTTGGGGGCCAAATTACGTAAGATTTATGAGACAGAAAAAAAGAGAGGAGGAGGAAGAAGAAGAGGAGAAAGATGTTATAGTTTAGATATGAAGTATTTTTTAAAAGAACATGTGTGAGACAATGAAAGATTTGCAGAGGTGAAATGATTAGGTTATGAGAGGTATGCCCTCATCAATGGATTAGTCCACTGATATGGATTAACTGGAAAGTAACTGTAGTCAGGTAGGGTATGGCTAGAGGAAGTAGTCACTGAGGGTGTGCTTTTTCAATTTATATTTTGTCCCTGATGAATGAAGATCTTTCTATGGTTCCTGGTACCATGTCCTGAGCTGCTTCTTCTGCCATCCATGCCCTTCCACCATGATGTTCTGCTCCACCTTGGGCCCAGAGCTATGGGCCCAAGTTGACGGTAGACTAAACCTCTTAAGCTGGGGGCCAAAATAAACTTTTCCTTCTCAACATTTTTCCTCTCAGGTCTTTTGGTCACAATAATGAAAAATTTGAATAAAACAGACATTGGTATTGAGAAGTGGTCTTGTTACTGTGTCTAACCTGACTATGTCGTTCTGAAGCTTTTGAAGGTGGTTTGCAGGAAAGGATGAATTTTGGGAAGTTTAGAGATGCAAGCTGGAAAAGCTTTAGCATGTTGTAAGTGGAGCTTAATGGGTGATTCTCGTGGGAGTTCAGAAGGCCAGAATGCTGATAGGACTATGGATGATAAAGTCTAGGCTCATGAGGTTTCAGAGGAGGAGGACTATTGCAAATTGGACTAGCATGTTATTTTCTGGCAAGGAAGTAGGCTATATTTTCCCAAGTCTTGATACTTTTTGTGAGACTGAATTTAAAGATGATGTACTAGGTCATCTGGTGGAGGAAAGTTTAAGGCAGCACAGCATTCAGGCAGTGGTATGGATATTGTAGCAACTTTTAACCAAGTTTACTGTGAAAACAAGAAGCAGAGAAGGGAGTGTAAAAATATGAAAAACTTACAAAATTTTGCCAAGAAAGTAAAAATAAAACTGGGAACAAGAATGATGTGATTGCTGAAGAGATTATAACAACTAAAGAGCTGCTAAGTACTTTACAAAGAGACAATAGGACAGATGGTTTGAGAGCATCTCAGGAATTGGCAAGATCACACCCATCTCAGACTCAAGGGTGTAAAAGAAAAAATTCCTTTGAAAGATACCCTTGTAGTGCCCTACTGCACAGGGGGGCCTAGGAAATTGTTTCACTGGGCTTAGTTGCCCAGACATTCAGATGTTGCAGTAGCTATGGTCCCAGGAGGCTTGGCTACTGCTCAAGATGGTAGCAGACATTAACATCAACCATATGGTGCTGGTTCTGCAGAATTGAAGGATGCTGGAGTTAGGGGTAATGAAGACTTCCACCAAGATTTCACAGGAAGTCCTGGGAAACCAGGCAAAATATAGCAGGGTTGAAGTACTTGCAGTCTTCACCTGAGAGTGTGATGCATGAAGACATAAGAAGGAGAATGTAGCTACAGAGGAGGTCCCTGAGATTAAAAGATGCCAGTAATGTGAGATGTCTGCTAAGGAAAGCTGTAGAAATAGGGCAAAAATAAGCAGAAAAAGGATATGGAACCACCATTTGACCCAGCTATTCCTCTCCTTAGACTATACCCAAAGGACTTAAAAACAGCATACTATAGGGACACAGCCACATCAATGTTTATAGTGGCACAATTCACAATAGCTAAACTGTGGAGCCAACCTAGATGTCCTTCAGTGGATGAATGGATAAAAAAAATGTGGCATATATACACAATGGAATTTTACTCAGCATTAAAAAGAACAAAATCATGGCATTTGCAGGTGAATGGATGGCATTGAAGAAGATAATGCTAAGTGAAGTCAGCCAATCCCCCCAAAACCAAATGCCAAATGTTTTCTCTGATATAATGATGTTAACTCATAGTGGGGTATGGAGGGGGAGCATGAGAGGAATAGATGAATTCTAGATAGGGAAGAGGGATGGGGCGGGGAGAAAGGGGGCAGGGGATTAGCAAGGATGGTAGAATGTGATGGACATCATTATACAAAGTACATGTATGAAGACTTGAATTGAGTGACAACATACTTTATATACAAACAGAGATACAAAAATTGTGGTATATATGTGAATTAAGAATTATGTTATTTAATATGTAATATTAAATATTTATTTACTTATTTATTTACTATGTTAGAACACAACACAGCCAATAAAAATCATAAATTCCAGTGACCAAAAATTATTGGTAAAGTAAAAGAATTATTTGGATTTTAAAAACTATGTAAAGCTGCCTTAAAAATCACAAATACCTACACACATTAACATTACACAGCATATCCAATACATCTGTGGACACATATGTTGTAAAAAACACTAAAAGAGGGGCTAGAGTTTTGGCTCAGTGGTAGAGTGCTCGCCTAGCATGCACAAGGCACCTGGTTCAATCCTCAGCACCACATAAATGTAAACTAAATATATTGTATCCACCTAAAGCTTAAGAATAAATATTTAAAAAGAAAACACTAAAAGTACCAACAGAGCTCATGTCTAAGCAATAAGACAAAGGATGGTTCTTTTTGTTTTCTGAATCATCCAGATTTTCTAAAGTAGACATTTATAATCAGAAAGAAATAACTTTAAAATTTTATTTAGGGCTAGGGGTGTAGTTTGAAGGTGGAATATTTGTCTAGCATTCCTAAGACTCAACATTCAATTCCCAGCCCTACACACACACACAAAAATAAGATGAATGTGATCTCAATGCATTTTCACACAAACTACCTCATTTGCACCTAATTACTCTCTAAGTCAGATAAACTTCTTATCTTGAAAAACCAGCCAAGGAAATGTTACACTCATGGAGATAAGTAGTAAAATGGGCTTTATTATAATTTTTAAAATTCTACCACCAGTATTGAGATAGATAAAAATGTGATATTTAGAAGCATACATTTCAGAATTTTTCAAGGGATTCTATGACAATTATATAAAGTAAACACCATATCAAAAAAAAGTGTTCAAAAAAAAAGGGATTCAATTATTTGAGAACAATTAATCAAAAAGAATTTCAATAATCTTCACAGTAATAATGGATTTTTAAAATTTTAACCATTTTAGTATCTTAAATATTAAGTATGGCTCACAGACTTTAAAAACCTATGACCAAAATGTCCATTCAAACATACCAAATGCCATAATTTATTCTCTGAAAAAGCATTTATAGACTTTTGACTTTGTTGTCAAATAAACTTCTAGTTGTCTTCATCTAAAAAATGAACTTGACCACTGATGCATGACTGTATACCACAATGATTGGGATACAGATGCCCAGGAGAGTGAACCTCCTCAGGCTTTGTTTGGCTACCTATAGTCTAGGCTATCAGAGACTCTAGATTAGTTGCCTCTAGCTTTGAAAAACCTCTTTGCCTCTTCTGGTTATCCAACTGTGAACACAAATATCATCAACAGGGTTAAGAGTGAGTCTCAGTGGTAGAGTTCTAGACTACCATTTGCAAAACTCTGGGCTCAATCCCCAATACTGCAAGAAAAATAAATTTAAAATTTAAAAAGTAAATATGTGTACATAAAAAATATGTACACATATCATTAGCAATATGTGCCAATCTTTGGTACAAGGTTAGAAATTCTGATATGGATCAGGATTTCTCAACCTTGGCACTAATGACATTTGTTGCTGGAGGCTGCCCTGAACACCTTTAGACAATATATACTATTACTTCTAATTCAAAAATTATGAAGAATGTCTTTAGACAAAGTATCTAAAAACCTAATTAAATTACTTTCAGCAAAATCAATCAATAATGCATTTTATACTTACCTACTCTACTATAAAGTAGTTGTATGCTTGTAAGGTTAATATCAAAGGAATCATAAGCTCTTTGCATAATTTCTTCAAGGTTGGTCCCACCTTGTTTCACATCTGGTAATTCCGAACGAATTTTACTTGCCACCTTGAGGTTAATTTTAAAAGTTTAGACTATGCAAAATATTTCAAAATATAAGTATAAAGTTTTTATCTTTCAGACCTATAATGTAAAAATTTAATAGGAAAAGAAACTCACATGCAGACACATATTGTAATGCTATTAGAAAAGTCATTATTCGTAAGATATATAATGAGAAGGAAAGGACATAAGGTAAATTTTTACATGTTAAGTTATATTTCCCATTACTTATATTAAAAGAGGAAAACCAAGACAGTACTAGAAATAATACATCTACAAATACTTAAAATCTGATAAGACTCCTCACTGAGAGCCAGATCAACCCAGAGATAAATTTAGCTTATAAAACGTTTTCATTGTACAAAGACAGATATTTAGATAGTTTTATAGCAATTAGAGTCTAGGATTTAATATTAGGATGGTGAAATTTAAGACCCAACTTTGCCATTTATGTGACTCCAAAGATGTTATACTGTATTCTCCCTTTTCTTGACATGGGATTCTTTTCACTTAACATTCCAGGAATCACTCAAAGATCTTATTCTTTCACTCACTGATGAATAAATAAATAGGTATAGATGGATATCTGTGTGTGTACATATTTAAACATAAACACACACATATAAACAGTTTTTCTTCTATTTTATATATCTCATGTGAAATAAACAGTCAAAAATTATTAACTTTGAAATGTAATGAATTTTGGGTAACAGATTAAGTGAATTACCAAATGACACAAAACTATATACTTAACTCCTGACCTTATGCTCTTCCCACTGTACCATACTGCCCTTGAAACAATTCAATAACCAAATTCAAATGTGAATAATTAGCTGTATAGGCTTATTATAAATATAAAGCCAGAAAAAATCAATCAATCAATAAATAAATAAATAAATATAAAGCCAGTGAATGTCTACATATGTTCCCAGTGCAGAGTATAATCAATCAATAAAAGAAACCGCCAATATTAAGGAAAGGCACATACTTGTTAGGTAGCCAAAAGAAATCAATTCTAACATTTTTCAACTCTCTTAGACCTTTAAATTGTTACTGGTATTTCTCTATCCTTAATGATTTAGAGCAGGGCTGTTTAATAGAACTTTTATGTTGTTCAACACAACAGCCACTGGCCACTTCTGACTTCAAAACTCTTAAATATGACTAATATGTCACTAAGGAACTGAATTTTTGTTTAATTTTAACTTAATCAAATGTATCTAATGGGTAGCACAGCACAGGTCTCAAAAGTCAAAAATAGGGGCTGGGGATGTGGCTCAAGCGGTAGCGCGCTCCCCTAGCATGCGTGCGGCCGGGTTCGATCCTCAGCACCACACACAAACAAAGATGTTGTGTCCGCCGATAACTAAAAAATAAATATTAAAATTCTCTGTCTCTCTGTTTCTCTCTCTCTCTCTTTAAAAAAAAAAGTCAAAAATAATTGTTCTTTACTTACTATTTGAGAAGAAAAAAGTTCATAATTGGAAGAAAAAGAAAATAACTTTGGTAAATAGATAACCATCTCTCAATTTTAAATCATTTGATAAAATTAAAATGCCAATATTTATATATAATTAAAATATCAGTATTATACACAAAATTTTCAAAAGAATAAAGATATATTTGATTATCTCCAGAATTCCCTCTATTTTACTTTAATTAATCAAGTAAAGATTGAACAGAAAAGGAAATAAACTTTTCAAGTACAACTCAAATTCTACAAATATAATTTTTCAGTTTACTCCTGCCCTTAAGAGTTCAATTGGTTATTTTTCTTTTAGAAGGAGGGCGGGAACACCTAATTCAATGACACTGCACTTTCTTTACCAGAAAGGAAGATTTCTCAAATACTAGTATCTACCACAAATCTACAAATCAGTAAGCCAATCAAACAGCCTTAAAAACAAGATTCATAATACCCTAAATGCCATATCATGAATCAAATATTATTATTATGTACCTTTAGATGACCAAGATCCAAAAGTAGTAGATTAGATGTAGGAGTAAAAATTCCATCTTGTGGTACAATAATATATGAAGCCTTCAAGTTAATTCTGAGGTCAAGAACTTTCTGTGTTTCAATAATATACAAAATACCTGTAGAAAATTTAAACCTTTGAAATGAATACTTCTCAGAAATTACTTAAGAAATACAGAATCACTAAACATACAAATTGATAGCATAATCATAAAATAATATGAAACTAGTATTGATTTCAAAATAATCTTGAGCAAAATATTTCCAAAATAAATGCAAATTATTTGTTGGTTAATGTGTACACTAATTAAATCTGAGTATAAAATTAGAGCAATTTCAAAAAAAACAAAAACAAACCAATGGTTTTTAGCCCACACATTCAATTTGGCTAAAACTGGGGAGAAAGATACTGACCTAAAAAAAAAAATTAAGTGATATGAAACATTTTTTTCATGGTTACTATTAGAATCTGTATGCAGTCATTCCAACTCATAAATTTAATACAGTTAAACAATGGTAACTTGATCTTGATGATTTTACTCTGAAAGGATGAAAACTGCTGGATCATTAAATCATCTTTAATAAAATCATATGTAAACCAGAAAAGGCAACAAACCAGAGTTCCACATTCCTTAGATATTGTTCAAAAAATTTTAATTCAATCACTTGCATGTGATTAGTAAGCCAAATTAATCTACTTTAGTGCTGGAGTCCAGCATCAGCTTTTTTTTTTTTAATTTAACCTTTATTTATTTGTTGTTGACTTGTTTTTATGTGATGCTGAGGATCGAACCCAGAGCCTCACCCATCCAAGGCAGGTGCACTACCACAGGGCCACAATCCCAGCCCCAGCATCAACTTTTAAATCAAATTATTAATGACTCCATCAGATAGGAACCCCTCCTTTATATCAATAAATTCTTTAAAAAGCCATCAAATCTGTTTTAGTGAAAAAAAAAAAAGATGTTTTGATTTATAAAATTTCAAGAGATCTGCTACCTAAATAGAAAGGCACCTTATTTCACAATGACAAGAAGGAAGGCAGGGAAGAAAACTATCACAAAAATGATTGTGAGGACTAGGTATTTTCAATGTGAATTATAAATAATAAGAAACTAAACTATTATAATAAGAAAATAAACCCTCAAACTGCAGTCAATAATATCTATAGTTTAACTGAACTTTTTTTTTTTTTTTTTTTTCAGAATAGGACCATGGTTAGACCAAGGTCATAAGAGTATTAAATGAGAAGGGCAGGTATTAATTTAAAAACCTTGCAAGAAAAGCTCTATGATTTAAAAGAAGAGATTCAGAAAATTCAGTATTTGAACAGTTCATGATATTCCTATTTGGAACTACAATGACTCCTATAATAGTCCTTTTTTCTTCAAAGGACAAATTCCCAAAAGAACGTATTCCATGTTTTGTGACACTATTAAGAAGGATTATTAGTAAAGTGACATAAATGTAGGCAGATCAGTATATTTTAATATAAGCCTTACAATTAAAATATTCATTGAAGAATACATGTTCAAATTGAATAAGTCAATAACTTTAAATGTACTTATAATAAGATAAAATTATTATTTTTTTTTCGCAATTTAACATAGCATTTAATATAGATATTCTCTTTTCTGTTCCTGTAATAGGTTTCCATAATAGGTCTAAGTTTCTTTTTTTTTTTTTTAATTTTTTATTGTTGTCTGTTCAAAACAGAGTATACAAAGAACTCCAAAAATTAGACAATAAGAGAACAAACAACCCAATCAACAAATGGGCCAAGGACCTGAACAGACACTTCTCAGAGGAGGACATACAATCAATCAACAAGTACATGAAAAAATGCTCACCATCTCTAGCAGTCAGAGAAATGCAAATCAAAACCACCCTAAGATACCATCTCACTCCAGTTAGATTGGCAGCCATTATGAAGTCAAACAACAACAAGTGCTGGCGAGGATGTGGGGAAAAGGGTACACTTGCTCATTGCTGGTGGGACTGCAAATTGGTGCAGCCAATTTGGAAAGCAGTATGGAGATTTCTTGGAAAGCTGGGAATGGAGCCACCATTTGACCCAGCTATTCCCCTTCTCGGTCTATTCTCTAAAGACCTAAAAAGAGCATGCTACAGGGACACTGCTACATCGATGTTCATAGCAGCACAATTCACAATAGCAAGACTGTGGAACCAACCTAGATGCCCTTCAATAGATGAATGGATAAAAAAAATGTGGCATTTATACACAATGGAGTATTACTCTGCATTAAAAAATGACAAAATCATAGAATTTACAGGGAAATGGATGGCATTAGAGCAGATTATGCTAAGTGAAGCTAGCCAATCCCTAAAAAACAAATGCCAAATGTCTTCTTTGATATAAGGAGAGTAACTAAGAACAGAGTAGGGTCGAAGAGCATGAGAAGAAGATTAACATTAAACAGGGATGAGAGGTGGGAGGGAAAGGGAGAGAGAAGGGAAATTGTATGGAAATGGAAGGAGACCCTCAGAGTTATACAATAAGATAAAATTATAAGTAGATATGTAAAATATAATATACTTATAAAGAAATGTAAAGTTTAAAAACATATATGAAGTGTCAAGTGCCAGCATATGATTAATTTGATAAACAAGCTAAAGGAGAAAGTGAATTCAATAAAAAATAATTTAAATATATACATTTATATAATAATAGAAAATAGCCTAAGATCATAGTCTGGACCAGTTCTTATTAGAAATACGATAAATTAATAACAAAACTAGCATTTTCAAGGAATTCCAAAGGCCTTGCCTAGGCTGAACCAAGAAATACTCTGGGGGTAAAGGGACTATTGACATCTCCAATAACCTAAACAAAGCAGATTCAAACGAAATCTCTTAAAATGAGGATGAAAAGTAAAGTCAAAGATAGAAATGAATACAGACTGACAGATCATCAAATTCTGACAATCATCCCATAAGCTTAGAACTTAAAACACAGAACTGACTAAAACACAGTTGCTCATACCATTCCCGCCGCCATGATCTGGATTCAAACACAGATTGTACAATTTACTCAAGTTTATTTGCTGAGTAAGTCATAAGAAGTACCCAAAAGGGACAGTCTGACCTTCAAAATCCTCCAGATTCTACCCGTTAAAGCATATTTCTCTATCTTCATCTCTAGGCTAATGGTTCCTCAACTCAAATTATCTGTCTGTGAATTCCTCCTGCCTCTGTAAATCTATGCCCTATACTCCCTGGAAGTCCTATGCCTCACTTTCAATGAATTGTTTCTTTCTTTTCCCCCTAAACGTTTTTTTATTTGTTCTTTTTTAGTTATACATAACAGTAGAATGAATTTTGACATATCATATATACATGGAATATAACTTCCCATTTTTGTGGTTGTACATGATGTGGAGTTCCACTGGTCATATATTCATATAGGAAACACAGGAAATTTTTGTCCAGTTCATCAGTTGTATTTCCCATTCCCATACCCTCTCCCTTCCCCCCACACCACCCTGGCCAATCTGGTGTCAGTGAATCCTTTCTTAATGTTACGACACAATGATCTATTTCCCTATGTTACTTTCAATGGAAAGGAAGGAGGAAAATTTTATTTTAAATGTTAAACCTACTTATGTCTCACCCCTATTTCTCATATTTATAATAAAATCCTCTGCTTAATTCTCCATCATTGTTTTGCATAATTGAGATTGTGCCTCTTTAACATCGTTCCACTCTCCGCCTCACATTCACTACATTAGAACCAGCTTTCTGCACTTCCAAATTCTTTTCTAAGTTACTATCCAGATTTGATCACTGCCTCTTATCCTCTAAGAGAATTGAATCTTGTATCAATTTTTCAAATGGATCTCTGGTACAATTACCAAAACTAAATTAGGACATCCATCATTCTCATTTCCTTCATAATATCTGGTCCTATTATCAATTTATTTCCTCAACTCCAAATTCACCCTTTTGCCTGCTCTATGAAACTGGAGCTGAGCCCCTTCAATACTTTTCTTTTACCAACAAGCACTGAAGATAAGATAGAATAAAGGAAAGACTGTAAAAAGAAAGGATCTTACTACTTGATTTTAGTGCAACCCCTCAGCAAGATGCTGCAACAATGCAGCTTTCTCCAACACTAAGCACAGGTAGCACATAAGGGACAACAGTACCCAATAGCCAGCATCTTCCTTTAGAATCATTCTCCTCAGGTGTTTTCAGGACAGAATGTATGTAAGGGGATGCCTGAACACCTTTCCCTATCACCTAAGGAAGGATTTCTAGAACATTTCAGAAGCAGGTTTTCAGCAAGTTTGTTAGCATGGCACCATAATGGCTTCTCCAATATCCTATGAGTCATAGCGTGCGTGCCTCCTTCCAGTAAGGTCTAAATTTCAACCCTTGGAGAACAGAGGGATAACTTCCTGGGGAAAATTAGTTTAATCCTATAAACCCTATAACTACCCTTCTTATATTCTTCAAAGTCAGTTTTTGGAGGAGGGTCACTGGAGAAGGTAATGCCCTCCATGCTTACAAGAGAAGTCACATATGGACCCATATGTGACTGACCCATCCTGGCAGATGGCACCACTGGTAGAGGAAAGCCAAGAGGCTTAACACACATCCCCAAGGAATCTCAGCTGACTCTTAAGAGTAGATAGGAACAAGGTGGTTTTGACCAACTTGGTCTTAAACACCTACCAAAACAGTATAGCCTAAGCACAGTCCTTCACGGACATTTAAAAGGAAAAAAAGATGTGTTGTTGTTGTTGTTTTAAATGTAATTTAAAATGTACACTTGTGTCAACTCTACCAAAAGTAAGTAAAGTTGGAGACTATAAAGGAAAGGTTCCTGTGTAGGAGTGCCTAATAATAATGATCATAAATAGAGTTTCGAGTTTATGTTGAGTTAATTTGAGCCTGATCTCCTAGACCTACAAATCTCCTAACCTCCTACATTAATAAACTCAATGTATTTTTCGCTGATTTGATTATAAGTTACTGTCTTCACAGTTTTAAGAGACTGGCTAAAATAGTAATTGCTTTTGTGCTGATTGTTCACTATAATGAACTATCATTTTAAAAACCAAATCTGTAACTTTAACCCTTCCCATAAAAGGATGGAACTTTTATTTTCTGAGGCCAATATATCAAACTATGGTAAGGAAATGACAGGCCTATTGTCAAAAACAGAGGTCCAAAGATCCTAACTATCAACTTTCTGAGTATAAAAAATGATTATTATTACACATGCTTTCAATAGAAAAGTAATAAATTGCTGGGCCTGGTGGTACATGTCTGTAGTCCCAGCAGCTCGGGAGGCTTAGACAGGAGGATCCATAGGTTCAAAGCCAGCCTAAGCAACAGTGAGTTGCTAAGCAACCGTATCTTTAAATAAAATACAAAATAGGGCTAGGGATGTGGCTCAATAGTTGAGTGCCAGGGAGCTCAAACTCTAATTACCACCACCACCACCACCACCGCCCCCCCCCCCCGGGAAAAAGTAACAAATTAATTTCTATTACACTGTATCCATTCTAGAAATAAATTTAAACTTTACCAAAATCATGTTAACATAAATAAAATTATGAAGTATGAAACAGTATTTAATTTATTAAATATAATTAATTTACCTGTTGCTGTCTTTTCACGAAATTCTTCAAGTTTTGTTAAAGTTGCTGAAGTGAGCTGTGCTAGACGTACCTCTTTTGGAGGCCTGAAGAATTCTATTATACTATTCACTGTCCTCTGTTAAAAAATAAATAAATAAATAAAAAGCATCATTAATATGAAGCACAATCTCAAGGCAATCTAAATTATATAAAAAATTGGTAACATAAAAAATACTAACTGCATCATATATCATTTCCAATGGTTCAGCTTCTATGATACACCTCTGAGAAACAGTTTCATCTAATGGATTTATCTCAAATATAATCTGGAAGAGTGATGTACCATCCAATGAAGACAGGAGGCGAGGTTTTTTTTTGAATTATCTGGTAAGCCAGTAATATGAAATGAGTCTATTTTGGTTTCAAATCTGTATGACAAAGGACAGGACAAAAATTAGGAATCAATACAATTCCAAAGAATTTTTCAAATTAAATAAAAATAAGTAACAACAACTTCACTTTCTATTTCCTGCAACTCTAGTCCATTTACATAAAAGAAAATATACAATGATTCCTCTGAATTCATATACCATATTTCACAAAGACTCATTCACATGTTAATTCCTATGTTAAAAAGCTAATGCTATGCTAATATTTGGTGTACTTACTGATAAAATCTAAAATTAACATAGCAATAATGTCTTATAATGCATATCAATGTAAAACTGAAAAGTCATACCTAACACAATTTTATGAGCACTTTCTGTTCTAAGATTTAACATAAATAATTAAAAACCAAGCAGAAGACAGAATTTCTAAAATAGCTATGTGAGGAACTCAGCAAAATATCTCCCAACGTATTAACCATGAAACAACTGATGAAAATTAGGTTCTCTGGAAATCAACCTAAGGGCACACTGCAAACAAACAAACAAAACATATATTTAGGAAAAACTGTGAAAATTGAGTAAGTACAGGAAGAGTCTGTGACATGAAAACAACAATCACCTCCCACTTCCAGCCCCATAGTGCATTACAGAAGGTAATATATAAATGGACGCTGCTAAATAGGGGGCTCTTATTCATCTCCAAGTTTAATGTACAGCTTCACCTGAGGAGGAACAGGCAGTGTATCATCCCTCCCCCAGCTATACATTACAAAAGCTCTATTCCAAACAGGCACTGTCAGGAGGGTTGAGTTTCCCTTTCTTCCCATTCATGCGCAAAGATTTTTTTGACCCAGAAGCCGCACTTTATGAATACTGAGGCCCAAATTGCCCCTCCACCATTTTGCTCCTAAAGTATAAGTTCCATTCTGAAAAATGTAAACAGAACCCCCCAGTGAAATTGATACAGCAAGGTGTCACTCTGGAAGAATTATGGGCCTGCCTACAAACTCCACATATAAAGCTGAGGTTTTTGTCAAAGGTAGAGAGGCAGGCTGCTAGGGCTGACATTATTTATAACAGAGCAAAGACAAATTCATGCTTAAACATGTAGTTTAAAACAATAGCAATCTTCATCAACTAGTAACAACAAGTAAAATGGCAAACCAACCAACAGTTTATTTAACAAAGAGAACCAGGAAAAGAGAGCTATGTAAGATCCTTCTGGGATCAAACTCATATTACAAGTAGAGAAGTCTGGATGATCCAAGATAGCAGAATAGAGGAGATCCTGTTTCTGGCTGCTCTGTGGCATGAAACCAAGAAAGCAGTCAGGCAGCTTCTCTGCAAGGTCTCACCTAGACGGAATACAACATCTCAGAGAGTGTGAGAGGACCCCCTATACAGCAGATTTTCGCAGAAATCACCAGCGCTGTGACCACCTGTGAAGAAATCAGAGCCTTGGCATTCAAGTAGGTCTCTGGACTCCAGACCCAAAGCTCACATCTCTAGCTCACGCACAGTTCCAGCTTAGCAGAATCACCTATCAGTACCTCTGCGGAACTCCAGAATGAGTCTGCTCCCACGTAGGTCACTCGGATGCTACCTATCCACAGCACAAGGACATTGACAGGTCCCCCCACCTCACCAGACACCCCTGCACTGGAAGCACATGGACTTCCATCTTGGAAAACCTTTCTCACCATTTTTGGTGGGCATGGCTATCAGATCAGATCTCCATTTGAGCAGGTACCTGGTTTCCAATTCCCTGACCCCCAGCAGCGATAATTCGGCACAGGGACCACCCAACACAAAAACAGCTCTCAGGTGGACAGGAGTGCAGTGTGACCAGGGCGCTGCCCACCTGGTGTGAGCCTGGGGGTGAGAGGTCTGGAAGTTGGGATATGATAAGTAAGAGGGGGGGGGGGGACTAAAGTCTGGGGCATAACAGAGAGATCAGGATCTGTGAAATCTCCAGGCAAAAGAGGGAGATGATACTGGGGGTTTAGTCAGACAAGTGGTCACAAAAAGAGACCCATGAAGTGCAATTCCCCTGGGACTGATGGGTGGCACTTCCCACTTCCAGACCCTCCACACCAGGTCCAGTGTTCTCACCTTGGTTACCTACACCATCTTGAGGGTAGAGACACCAGCTTAACACAGACAACTCCACCTACTGGATAAGAAGAGAAGGAGGAAAGAAAGAGATCTCTAATTCTTCTTCTCCTTCTTCTTTCTCTTCTACCCTTCTATCCTCTGACCCTCACATCACAAACATATGTGAAACCAAGAACTTTGCATGAAATAGGACTTTGAGGACTGAGTCACCTGAATAATGTAATATAGAGGAATTACATAAGCCTTTTTTTCTTTTTTCTTTTTCTTCTTTCTTTCCCTTTTTTCTCTTTCTTCTTCTTTCATCCTCCAAATTTCACTATTTTTACATCCTGTATTTTTCTAAATACATATTTGTGTTTGTTTTATGTACTCTACTGTCTTCCCATGTACTTGTCTACCTTAAATTACTTCCTGTCTACTCCCCTGCTACTAACCCTCTTCATTAGATTTCTCCTTCACATTTCCTAAGATATATTAAATCTATACACTCATATCTTTCCCCCTCAGCATATCGTCCTATGCCTGACTCCCAGTTCATTGTCCATCACCAGAAACTGTAAATCTTTTTATGAAACTACTGATTATATTTTAAATAATAATTTAATCCAACATTTCTGGACACTGAGACTAAACTATAAATGTCTTAATAATAACAGTTTGTTCATAGGTGATGCATTGTTGACATTGGGATCTGTTAACATTATCCCTCTCCACAAAAGAAGGATCTTGGAACCCTACCCTATCTATAGGGTAAAAACAATAACACACAAGATCCACAGAGCTGCAAAGGAAGACATATGAGCAACATGAAAAGACAAGAAAAGAAAGTACCACAAACAAATCAAGACAACACATCATTAGAAGCATTGGCAGCTGCAGCAGAAAAAAATGACAGAGAAAGATTTCAGGATATACATGGTTAAAATGTTCTGGGATCTCAAAGAAGACATAAGAGAACAAATACAGGCAGTGAAAGATCACTTCTACAATGAGCTACATAAACAAATCCAAGAAGCAAAAAATCACCTCAACAGGGAGATAGAGGTTCAAAAAACAAAAACAGAAAGCCTTGAAATGAAAGAAATCATAAACCATATTAAAAACTCAAATGAAAGCATCACCAACAGAGTAGACCACTTAGAAGATAGGACATCAGACAATGAAGATAAAATATATCATCTTGAAAAGAACATAGACCACACAGCAAAAATGATAAGAAGCCACAAGCAGAACATTCAAGAAATATGGGATACCACAAAAAGAACAAATTTAAGAGAAGTCTGTGTGCACATGCTAGGCTGCATTCACTTAGGAAAATTAGAGCAAGACTACAGTTAAGACTTCTATCAAATAATTGTATTTATGTGGGTTTGCCTCTGTGTCTTCTATTTTGTACCATTGGTTTATGTGTCTGTTTTGGTGCCAATACCATGCTGTTTTTGTTACTATGGCTCTGTAGTACAGTTTAAGATCTGGTATTGTGATGCCTCCTGCTTTACTCTTCTTGTTAAGGATTGCTTTGGTTATTCTGGGCCTCTTATTTTTCCAAATGAATTTTAAGATTGTTTTTTTCTAATTCTATGAAGAATGTCACTGGGATTATAATTCAAATTGCATTAAATGTGTATAAAGCTTTTGGTAGCATGGCCATTTTGACAATATTAATTCGCACAGCCAGGAGCATGAGGGGCTATCCATCTTCTAAGGTTTTCTTCAATTATTTTCTTTAGTGTTCTATAGTTTTCTTTGTAGAGGTCTTTCACCTGTTTTTGTCAGATTGATTGTCCCAAGAATTTTTTTTTTTTTTTTTGAGACTACTGTGAATGGGGTAGTCTAATTTCTGTTTCAGTAGATTCATCACTGATGTATAGGAAGGTAACGTGATTTATGGGTATTGATTTTATAACCTGCTACTTTGCTGAATTCATTTATAACTTTTAGAAGTTTTCTGTAAAACTTTTGGGTCTTCTAAATATAAAATCATGTTATTGGCAAATAATGACAGTTTGAGTTCTTTTCCTATTCATATCCCTTTAATTTCTTTTTCCTGTCTAATTACTCTAGCTAGAGTTTCAAGGATAATGTTGAATAGAAATGGTGAAAAGGAAGGCATCCTCATTTTGTTCCAGTTCTTAGAGGGAACACTTTCAATTTTTCTCCATTTAGAATGATGTTAGCCTTGGGTTTAGCATATATAGTTTTTATAGTATTGAGGTATGTTCCTACTATCCCTAGTTTTTCTAGTGTTTTGAACATGAAGCGGTGCTATATTTTGTCAAATGCTTTTTCTGCATCTATTGAGATGATCATATGATTCTTGTTTTTAAGTCTATTGATGTGATGAATTACATTTATTGATTTCCATGTTGAACCAACCTAGCATCCAGGGGATGAACCCTATTTGATCTCAGTGTACTACCTTTTTAGTATGTTTTTGTATGCGATTTCTGAATATTTTCACCATAAAGAAATGACAAATATTTGAGGAATTAAAAATTTTTGCATATATGTTCATTAAGGATATTGGTCTAAAGTTTTCTTTCTTTGATATGTCTTTGTCTGGTTTTAGTTTCAGGATGATGTTAACCTCACAGAATGAATCTGGAAGGGTTCCCTCCTTTTCTATTGCATGGAATAGTTTGAGGAGTATTGGTGTTAATTCTTCTTTGAAGGTCTTATAGAACTCATCCGAGATTCCATCTGGTTCTGTACTTTTTTTGTTTTTGTAGATTCTCATGGTTTTTTTTTTTTTTTTTTCTATTTCATTACTTGTAATTCATCTGTTTAAATCATGTATGTCCTCCTGATTCAGTTTGGGTAGGTTATATAACTCTAGAAATTTTTCAAGGTTTTCTACCAAAGGTACCAAAAACATTCACTGGAGAAAAGATAGCTT